CCCGACGTGATGTGTTCTTTGGCCTTCCTCTTTTCCGCTTCCCTTCAAGAGTTTAAGTTAGGGCTTGCCTTGAGATGCAGTTTGATGATTTGCGTAATGTATGTCCTATCCCTTTCCATCGTCCTTTCTTAATTTTTGATTAAACTGGAAGCTAGTTTGTTCTCTCTCACAGAAGGTTGTTGCATACTTATAATAGTAAAAATGGATATGTATATCATCATGGTGAAGTAGTAACTTTAACAGCTGAATTCATGAGTCGATACGAGCAAGACCACCGATGAAAACATGGAAGCACTAGACTAGTATGGGACTCCTAATATTTAAAAAGTTTTGTAAATAAATATTATATGTGAGACAAAACTTTGGATCATCTGACATAGTAACATGAGATCATAGAGATAAATAATTCATTATATAATGAAGCAGTTGAATGTAAATTAATATTAATGGCTATTAATTAATCCGCTATTTTTACTTAAATTATAGATGTTAACTGGTGCGATATTATATAGTTAGGTTAAACAGTTCGTCAGTACATTCTGATTCTTAAATATCGTCTATATATAGTCAGTTCGTGCTATAAACTACAAACGAGACCTATTATAATTTATTCTATTCGTCCTCATTTTGATAGTTAATAGACCCATCAATAACAAAATTTGTATTAATTAGTCTACGTAAATCTCATAAACTTGTAAAATGTTGTCATTGCATGAAAAATGTAAGTAGTTTTAATTATCCTATTGTGTGTGCCGCTTATAACGACATAAGTAGTATAGGACGTTAGTCAGAAACAGAATGTCTGGCAGCAGAGAGACAAGAGGATCGAACAGTAAAGAATGGAAACAGAATGCAATGTGTATGAAAATGAAAGAACAATGAAGTCTTAGTCGTTTTCAAACAATCGATGAATATTTTACAAACTAAGCATTTACTATATGGTTGGTAGATTTTATTAACTAGTTTTGTAATGTTGTGTTAAATACATTCGATTGTCCCCACCCGTGTTCTGTTCACTACAGTTCTATTGCTAAATAAAATTTGGTTGCTTTACAATATCTGAACATTTTGACATATATAGCAAGCTCAATAGATTATTAACAGGATGGGGGTTTGTGGAGATTGTAATGATTTTAATAATTGAATTCACGAGTTCATGTAATCTGAAGTTAGGCATAAACGGTGTTGGATGCTGATTCACTGGTCTAGAGTTTGAGCTTTTGTTCGCAAAACCGGTGTTAGGTTTAAGTCCCGCATGCAGGATCGTAGATGCGCACTACCGAGGAGTCCCATACTAGGGCAAAAAAGCCATCCAGTGTTTCCAGGTTTCCGATGGTGGTCTAAATTTGATCGACCCAATTGATCAATTCAACTATTAATAGATCATGTTAATCCACGTTAATATTATTTGTTTAATGTAAACCAATAATTATTCTCCTGTTATGTAAAAATAAATGAATTCGTGAATTTTCATAATTATTGTTATTTTAAACTGACACTAGTTAAAGAAATCTCGAAAAATAGGTCATATTCAACAACCACTTCACTGTGGCATGAAGTTCTCAATGACCATTATCCTATCAAAAGTTGAACATAGAGCTTTCCTTGCCTGTCGGCAGGTGTTTGATTTGATAATTCTACTTTTATAAAGATCTTCAAGTAACCTTTACTCATTAACTTTTATTCCTTACCATTACAATTGTTTGATCAATAAGATTTTCCTGGAAACACATACGACAGTTTCTTTAGTATTTATTTACTTTAAAATAACAATTTTGTTTCAGATTTAAAAAAACACACCAGGCTACTTTCATGTTAAAAAAAAATCTTCGCAAACTTAGATTACACAGACAAACATCGTATGTTTTTTTTTCAAGTCACGTTTTTACTTGCCCGCTGATTTATCAGTACAAGTCTACAGATGAACAAAATTGAATATTAACTTGTTAAAGAAAGCGCACCAAATCATTCATTACAAAAGGATAGAGTTTATTTATTTATGATATTATTAAACTTTGAATCGACTATCTTAGTTTTATATTTAAAAATTTGGCATCAAATAAGACGCCCAGATAAGAAAATATAATTTCAGTTGTTATTTTATTATGTATGCTACTTATGTTGACAGATATAAGTAGTATGTGACATCAGTCGATTTTGGAATGCTTGGTAGCAGAAGGTTGAGAAGATCAAATTGAAGAGAACAGGAATGCAAACAGATAGTAATTCTAATATCAATGAAGGAACGATTAAGCTTGTAAATGAAGTATTTAATGTGTGGTTTTCACATTTTACCAAAGAACTCTGATTATCCCATCCAAAATTAACAGTTTAAGATATAAATTAAGTTTTACATTGAGTAGTTAGTTTGAATATAATCCAACAAGCGATTTTTAAGCAAGTGATAATTTAAAACATGTGTTGAAATTGTGTAACATTTAGATTACGACATGTTCCTTTTTCAGTAGGTAATTTCTTGAAAATTGGTTGTTCTATTATTGATTCAAATCGTTCACATTCATGGTAATGTTGCATAACTAGTACACAGTGTATATTAATTGTTAATATAATAGTTTTGAGATGCCATTCATAGAATAAGTGGTGTAGTTTCGTTCTGTTGCTTTATACTGTTAACAATTTAATCAAAAGACATTATCATTATTTGTAGTTTGATCATAGTATCAACTAGTGTAAGAACCACTGCAACACGACATACCATACAATCTCAAGCTCTCTAAATATCAAAAAAAATTTGTGTACATTAACTAATACGTATTCTGTAGTTAATTGATATCTTGTCTTTAAAACATCTGAAGTACTATTGTGGTGAATCCTACTCATGCGATTGCTTGTAAGTAGTATAAAGTGGTTCGTGACCTCGAAGCTTTCACAGTCATCAGACAGAAAGATTACTTTCGGTACATCAAAATCACAGTGTAGGGAGAACACCTAAAGATTAGACGAGAAGACAGTTTAAATTGCAGAACACACAACAAGATGCAAACCAATAATCAAAGGCTATGTATGTTCATTATGTAAGCACTGTAATCTCACAATAAACACATGTTCTATATACTGAATCTATTCTTAGAAGTAAGCATATTACACTGAAATTTTTATGAAAAGATAATGAATGAAATTATATAGTATTTTAATTAAGCATCAGGATAAGTATTTTCGAAACGTTGCTTCTCAAAAATTGTTTTGAGTGGTTCAGATTTGATTGTACATAACTGGCTTACCAGAACTTATTGAAGAAGTCTGACCCTGGTATTTATAAATACTTAATTCTGTTTAGTAAGAATAATTTGAACATTAAGATTATATCATTTATCATCTGACTATAATTATTTTATGTATCATCTCTTACGTCGCGAATTATACGCTATCTTAATCAAGTCATTAATCAAATAATCGATTAGACATAAGATACTAATGAGTAACATGCTAAAATATCGTTATTTAAACTAACCAGGTTAACTATTACTGACGGCACTACTAAGCTTTTTGAAGATAAAAGTAGTAGAATTAGAAGAAAGGGTTTTCTTTTTCTTGTGAAAAAATGATTTTTTTTCGTCATAATATTAATGACCTATAAATGTTACCAATGTAACTTTGGTCCTATAACATTTGTCATCATAGATCTAATACAAAACATAAAAACCTCTATTCATATATATATATATATATATATATATATATATGCTTTGTTATACGATGTGTATAGATTAACAAACTTCAAAACGATTGTTTGTTTTAATTCATTTTGTATGGTTGTTGTATTGCACAAGTTAGTAGCTATCAGGACTCAGTAGTTAAGTGGATAACGCAAAGGTGTTTGGGGAAAAAGGTACTGGGTTCGAGTCCCGAAGTAAACATAAACTCTGGGATGCGGGTATATCCAGCTAATGAGCCCTAAACACGATGAAACGCGCGTCCTGGATTCTGCTGTTAAGCAACATCCAACCTTGCTTATAATTGTTTGTTTGGTTTAATTTTAATCTGTAATGTGTATATATTTTAAAACTGACTACATCTTTTTACGAGAAAAACACACCAAAGTGGATATAAAAAATGAATTGTGCACTGAAAAACGAGTAGAATATTAAGTTAAATTCGTTATTTTATTCTTTTAATAATTAATGACAAAATTATTTACTTGACTATAATAGTATCATAACAAAATTAACATTTCTAAATTTAATCAGACAGGAAGTAATAACAGTGTTGTTTGTGTATAGTGTTGTTTACTTGTCTTGATTTACGCATGATCTCACTCCTCTACGCTGTATGCTTTATATATATTTCACAAATTATATACATTTATATGAAATATCTATTGTGTTTTGTTAGAGATAATTGACATGAAGTTCTGTATGACCAAGATTTTGTGCTGATTAGTGCCGGCCAGCAAAGTGAATTCCCAGGTTTAAAAGAATTTATACACTACTGAAGTTTTAGCCAACGTTAGGATAGCATCAAATTTAAAAACGTTAACTTTGAAAGTTTTCTTTGTAACCGACATTTGTAGAACTGAGATATTTAAACCGAATTATCACTGAGTAGTAACAGCTGTTGTAATTTTTGAGTTCTTATTGTTCATAGAATTCATTTAGAATTGTAATTCATGGATTTTCGGTGGTTGACATCCACTTTTTTTCACAACATCATCAAAATTTATGATTCAATAAAATTCGATCGATTATTTGTTTGTTTGCTTTTTTTGCTTTACAGGTCATTATTACTAAATCAATTAAAAAGTTGTTTACATAACAACAACAACAACAACAACAACAAAAATCACAATCTAAAAAAAGAAAACAAATTAGGCTATAAAGGCTATAAAAATACGAAAATATAGTAGTTATCAATGATTATTTCTTTATCCTGATAAAAGAAGAAAGTTTATTCTTGTTTTTTTCTTTTCATCAATATATAACTCTAATTTAATTCTGTTATTTTTATTTTCACTTAATTATAGATTTTTTCAGAATTTAATCATGTTCCGAATAAATAAATTGGTGGCTTTCACATGTATTACACTGCTCATTTGTCTTAGTAAGTTATCCTTATATATATAATTATATATATAATGCTAGAGTGTAGATTTTTCTGTTCTATATTCTTTGTGTATTTCTATTCTCTATTTGTAACATATATATTGGGTAGAAAGGAAGAACAATCAACAACAACAACAACGATAACAACAAAAAAGAGAACCAGTGCAAAAGAGAATAATTACTATACACTGATATTTTTATTTTGATTATTCTTTCTAAGAAATTAAATGTAAAATTTAGTTTAGTTGTATCATATCAATGTATATCTACCACAAATAAGGGAATAGTACATTAGGGTTTAATATTTATTAGGATGAATTAAAGAGAAAACAAAAACCTCCTTATATACGTATGCATGTATTCTAAAATTATTATGTTGGTAGTTAGTATTAATTGAAGGTAAATTTCAACTAGAAAACATTTTTAACCTAAAAAAACTACTTAGCAAATTTTTTCTTATTAGTTTGAGATATTTTAATAAATTTTATTCGTAATCTTACATAAGATTCAATCACGAATATTCACATTCCATATAGAGTATCACAGATCCGAGTTATTAGATTGGTACATCTATATTTTTATTATTTCAGCGAGTTTGCAGTATGTATATATGAAGATAATACTTATACTTATTCTACATGATCTAAGTAGAAATTGATTGGTATTTTGACAAAACTGTAGTACCAATCAATAAAAATTATATCAACCTTATTTACTTACTCCTGTTACCCTTTATGGAGGCTGTCTACTGAATGATAACAAAATTTTATAAAGAATAACTTTGTACAGTTTTGAAAACGCTTAAGATTGCGTATTAAAGACATAAATAAATAACTTTTCAATAAATTTATTCCAAGTGTATTCGCAAATAAATCACTGTATTATTCAATACTTAAATTGATCTACTTTGTAGAGCACAAATTCCCGGTATTATAGTCATACAGCTGTAAAATTTCATAAATCTTATGAAATTACAGTTTGCTACTACTCGGAACAGAGTGTAAATAACATTTTATATTCATCATTAAATACACAAACAAATGTGTAGCACGCTGATATGAGCAAATCGTAAATAATTAAACTTATCTGTTGTTCAATAGTCATTGGTAATAGACATTAGGATTGACTTGTAATTAGACAATGCACAACTTGGTACATTTACCGTACAGCTATGAAATATATAGATAAGTTTATATACAAGGTTCCGTTGAAATTTATTTCTTTAGTAAACTACTTAAATCCATTTAAGTAGTGCTTCTGAAACTTATTTGTTATTTTAATGGATAATCTTAGTAAAAGACTTTACCCATTTTGTATGGCATTTAATGATAAGTTAATGAGCATCATGCGCAACTGAAATAGAGGAAAGTACAAGGTGGGTTTTTGCTTGAACTACTATAAAACGAATGCTATATGTCATATTGACTGAATATGACTGTTAATTAACATAAAAATATAGTATACTGAAGTTTAAATTAGAAACAAAACGAAAGATGAATCCAAGATAGTGGAGAAGATTTATAGCTCAGGTGGACGATTTTGGTGGAGTTTGGTTCTCTGAATTAGATGATTTGGTCGTGGAGATTTCATCGTTCTTTTGAACGACATTAACAGTACAAACTTCAGGCAGACTTCTCCCTACTACACCAAAGATGAATCCACTTAAAATCTAATTTAATTTTTATCTCCTCCCTATATCAATTACTTCCAAAATGAATGTATTTGCTTCAAATTGACCATTTATCTCCAATCTTTGATTTGAATTCATATCTGAAGCTTTACAATAAGATTATTGAATATAATTTTCACATAAGCTAAATGTTTAGCAGTAGTAACCAATATCATTCTGTCTAATACTAAGAATTTGTTAAATTCCATCTAGTTAACAGTATGAATAAGTCAATATTACGGCGTACTTTATTGGAAGTTAAATAACTTGAATAAGTCTGATGACATTCACTTCCTATTTGTCCTACAAGTAAGTATTATTAAACATGAAAGCATAGTGTTCTGAACGAGAACACAAATGGACGCAATCAAATGTATATGAGTACAAAATTACATAATCGTTTATAAAATTAAATTAATTGACTCATGATCTCAACAATTAAAATTACTAAAATCTCCACAAAACCCCCTTCTGATAATAATCAACATATGCTCACTAGTGACTGGCTTCAAGAGGTATATCCTGGAGTTCTGGTGAGAAGTGATCAGTGGAGTTCAACCAGATCTGTTGTGAGACAGTAACTCACTGATGACAATGGTGGATTTGTGGCTTAATTTTATTGATAAGTTGAAGTTAGACATTAACACCGTTGGATGCCAGCCGGCTCAGTGGTCTAGTGGTTAGATGCTCCTACGCGAGACCAGTAGGTCCTGGTTCCGAGTCTCGGGGGGGAGGGGGGAGGGATCGTTGATGAGCACTGCTGAGTAGTCCCACAATAGGACGAAATCGCCGTCCAGTTCTTCCAGGTTTTCCATGGTGGTCTAGCTTTAATTGATCCATGATCCCAACAACTGAAAAATGTGAATAACATATGTTCAATACTTCATTTACATAATGTTCATCAATTATCTCAGATTTGATTGTTTCTTCGTTTTCATACCAATCACTTTCTGTTTCCATTCTCTTTTATTCGGTCTTTTTAACCTTCTGCTGCTAGACATTCCACTTTCAGCTGGTATTACATACTACTTAAGTTGTACACACCACAATAGATCATAGAGCTCCATCATACCATTTACTTTCAATCATCAAATTTGTTTCATTATTCATCAATTTCAACCATTCCATTCTTAAATAATAATAATAAATTAAATTCGAACCTATTTTAAAGAATTTAAAACATTTTTTTTTATTACCATTTTCAAAATTTTTTTCTCCCTACGGTTACTTCTGAATGTCGTTTTTGCAAGAAAAAGAAAATAATAAACAGATTTTTTTTAAAGAAAAAAAGTTATTATGAAAGTTTCTCATTTTCTCTTGTTTTCCCCTCCCTGTTCCTACATCACTAAAGAAGTAAATAAATGTACAACAGAATTTTTAAAAATTCAAGTTTATTTTGATAGAAATTATGTTGAAAACATTTAAATCATTATTATTTTCAATGATTGACAAATCATACAATGAGTTTTGTCAATGTATTATGTCGGAAATTGAAAAACTGAAACATATATATATTTATATATATATCATGTTTACTAAATACTATTATTTGTTATCAGAAGGGGGTTATGTGGAGATTTAGGTAAATTCAGTTGTTGAGATCATGGTGGTCTAGCTTCAATTGACTCATGATCTCAACAAATGAAACCATTATTTGTAATTGTCATAACTGGTAACCACAGTTATTCTCGTAAGAGAACGAAAATGCCTAATCTACGACAACAATATTATTATTGTTACCGTTATATTTCCGAATTTTATTATTTTTCAAAGACCAAATAACTGTATCGTATGTTTTAATTTTACAAAAGAAACTTAGAAAATAGACCCAATTTAAGAGATTACTATTTTGATTTTATATTGTAATTAAAAGGAAATTATTTACCATTGTGAAATAATTATAAAATGACTGATTTAACAAGACAAATTTAGATTAATTATGAACAAGACATTGTCATTTAGATTAAGATTATTTTTTTACCCTATAACATAGAACTAGTAGGTAACAGTATTAAACTGAAAGAATCGTATAACAGAGTACCATCCATCGTGGTTAAGCAAAGGATAGGTAAAAGTGATTAAAATTTCTATTCTCGCTCACTTGGTTGGCACAGGCCCTCAAGTTGAACTGAATAAATCTTTTAAGGTTACCTAACATATTCCATCAAATTTGCCACATTATTTACAAGTGCGCCTTTTACACATTGTGGAAGCAATCGCAATCCATGTTCACAAACCTAACCTTTGCATCCAAAAGATATTTGTACAACCACTTTTGCTACCTTGGCTATCGGAATAATAGTGCTTGCAGCAGAACTAACTTTCGTACTTCTTCCATATGGTTCTGTATTTTTCGTTTTTTGTTATTTTTTTTAACTTCGTATTTTTCTCAACATTCATCTCATGATTCTTACATAACTAATATTCTATTGACAATTCATTGTAATATTCTGTTCCTTCTCTTTTTCATATATTATCCAACGTAGCAACGTCTTGATTTTTGAGTAAATACTTTGAATATTATTAATCCTCTTTCTTCCAATTACCCAATGTTAATTTACCATCGAAATGTCATTGTGTAATTATTACGTAACGTATCCACTCGATGAGTATTATTTCATCATTGTAAATCATATATATATTAGTGTAGAGCCATGGTAAAAACTAATGGAAAAGAAATTTCTTCGCTCAATTCGTTCCTTCTGTATTTACCAAATGTCAAAATGAGAATTTTCACTAAATTATTAAAACGGTAAGATTTAATTAAATAAACTTAAATAAATATATAAAACTAATATTATGAGCAAAGATGGACGATGGCTAGTAATGGGTTCCAGTTTTACGCACAAGTTATCTTACTTGGAAATTTGTCAGCTGATCATAATACTTATGACTTAGGGCAATATTGAGGCAATATGCACAGTTTATATATATGCCAATAAGAGACTGATCAATTAGTCCTAAACATTAATCGAAAGGTTTTTTTTTAGAAAAAACAATACCGAATGGGAAAAATGTAAAATCTAACTCACATTTGTGTATAACACTCGAGGAAGTATATTTCACATTTGTACAATAAAATGAACTGGACATGATAAATAGTAAAATGTTTGATGTAATACTAACAACTTAATCACATTAGAGCTTTGTATACTTATAATATTTCTCAAACGAAGAGTAAATATAACGATTCAGAAGAAACATAAAATAGTTTAAATAAAGTAAGAATAACGATGTTTGGAGAAAAAAAATGCATTCATTCTTTTCTACTATTTCTCACCGACTGCATACAAGAGAAAATTATAATTATTAATGTAACTACTAATAAATCTTTCAATGGCTGAGATCATAAATCATTTGAAGCCAGACCACTGTAAAAAGCCTGGAAGCACTGGACGGTCAGTTTGTCCTATTGTGGGACTCCTCAGAACTGCGCATACACGATCCCGTCTGGTCCTTGTTTTGAATCCCGAGAGGCGGGATCGCGGATGTGCACTATCGAGGGGTCCCATACCAGGACAAAACGGCTATACAGTACTTCTAGATTTTCGATGGTTGTCTAGCTTAGAGTGGCTAATGAATTTAACTGTTTATATATTTGTTTATTTTATCATGTTGAATGACTACCCAATCACATAATAACTTCACCACCACCTCATAAACTTTTATTTTGGTTATGATTACCGGTAACTGTAACACCTGTTTTACTTCACATTATTACTCTCCAAAAAATAAAATATTTAATAATCTTGTTTACTCATATCTTTTTTATCTCTATCATTTTGATTATTAGAATTTTGGTTATGTATATTTAAACTTTACAAACTACAATATATCAAACAGTTGTCAACAGTTGGATTATTAATTTTAATTTTTGGGTTATATGTAGTTAACGAAAAACCGTGAGATAGAATAAATGCATTTCATTATGCAAACCTAATCGTTATCACCGTTTAAATTTATCAGGGTGTCTAGTTGTATGTAACAAAACAAAACAACAACAAATGAACGGATCTACACCATGATTATTCATTTCTGACATGATTATTCATGGTTTCCTATCATAAATTTTTATCATTTAGAATCCAACAGAAGTCTCCACCTTTTGATGGAACCCAAAATTAAGTTTGGTAACAGGTACTATTTTCTAAGTTTAATTCAACTTTAGCATGAACTGTATTTGCGGATGTATAACATATTACAGCCTCAGTTAGTTAGTCTTCATAGTTTTAGGACTTGATTTACCATCGTTACCTAGACTCCTACATATCCTTGTACAGTGAACCTAATTTGTTTGAGATATAAATTATGTATAGTCTAAACATTGAACTAATATGTTATATTCAATATCATAAAGTCAATGTAGATCCCAATAATTTTATGAAAGATTTTTAATGACCTATTTCTTCCAAATACAATCTGATGGACATCCCTTATAAGTTCAGAATAAGTGTATAACCAAGATAAAGCATTTAGAAGCAAAATATCATCTCTAGAAGTCAATAGGTAGATGACTTAATAATGAATGAAATATATTGACTTACTGTCTACTTCTTTTCATTATATCAATCTTAGTAAATGAATATTATAAAACAAATAATTAGTCCACAATTTTAACATGATATTTACAAAGTATTAAGTTTTAAGAGTACAATTTATAAAATGAATAATTACATATCTTTAGTTTCCAACCAAAGTTAATTTGTGACTGTTATTCAAATAATATCACATTTTCATAACCGCTCTATTTCTTAATAGTAACAGACTTACCTTTTAGATGACTTTGAGCGCAGAATCTGTCTTGATTGAGTGACCTGTGTTCACAAGGTATTCGATTATTGAAGTCTTCCAAAGACAATATTTTGTATTTGGGGGCCCCCGAATACCCTGGTACGGCTGAGAGTGAGGAGACTCCGCTCTTCCTCTCGAAATGCTCTCACATGGCCACGCGTATACAGCCTCTGCCAGGGAATTCCTACTCACTGTCTTCTCGTGGCGGGGGTGTTGTTTACGAAAATGAGAGAACGGAAAGCGAATTTCCGGCGCTTTAACCGGATCGCAAACCAATGGTGCACATGGGCTCCAGTATCCTGCGAGAACTAATTGTTGGTCATCGGCTACCATAGGACTACATCTTCTTACGATGCTCCACTGCCTTGTGGATCGGATCTTCAGGCCGAAGGCTCGGGGTGTGGCCCCCTAATAAAACCACCTGCTTCGGTTTAGACACCCAGGCAGTATCACAGCCCTCACACAAATCAATTGAGATTTGTGTGGCGCATATGTATTTGGTGCTTCCTTGTACCAATATCTATGTGTTAAAATAAATAAGTAAATAATAATTATATTGCATCTTCTTAGAATTGCCGAAGTAATAGCCATACATCTAGGAAAACCAGAATTGTATATCCAAAAGTGATCGGTATAACCTCTTTTTCTAACATGATCTTAATGTCTTATTATTATTTTTTTATACTCTACTTTTCCTTTCATCCCCTCCGTAAATTTTCTACCCCTAACTAGTTTATTCCGGTTTCTACGATCCTCCTGATTACATTTAATCACAATTTCGACATTTCATCTCATTATACTGAGCCACCATCTTCCAATCATAATTTCCCTTTCTATCTTTTTATGAATATTTAAGCCATTAACAATCAAATGATTATTAGTTCCCCAGTTTTAAAATTTTTTAATACATTTGTTTATTCTACCTTACTGTCATCATATCTAACAGAAGTTTATTATCATTATTATTGTAATTATTATCATCCTGAAAATATAAGTAAATGTATTTGCGATTGTACAGCTTTGAAAATGAATTCGCCGAAAAGAGAACACTTCATTGAATAAATCTTTCTTATTTAATGTTTTAGTGAGTGTATTCCATTTACTAAAATAACTATTGACAAGAACAAATCGTTATGACTTGTTAATGATCATGATAATCGATCTATAATATAATAAATAAACTTTTTTCTAGATTTAATAGTTTCCATAAACAATAAATCAATAACGAGTTATTTTTCTATGATTATTTGCTAGTTTTACTGGTAAACAGTACATTGAGCATGCGCACAAACAATGATCTAATGGATTTACCTGAAAGTTATTCACCAGAATATGAACGTATATGGTCAATTCGACCGAAATTCTTATATCCCAGTGCATATTTACGACCATATAGAGTACCGTTTTATCAAGATACTATTGAGAAAAAAAATCGTAAAATTGATCAATCATTTTATTCTTATTATGGTTAAAGTAAGTTTATTAAAAAATTGTACTGGTATATAATTAACTTGATGTTTCACAGATTAAAGATTTAATTTACTGAGATGTTAGAGAATATTTAAAGCTTAGAACGATGATTTTGGAGGTGTTGTATTCTCTAATCTGGATGGTTGCATTGTAAAGCTTTTAGTGTCCCTATATAAATCATCATCAGCATATACTTTCAAACTTCACACGAAACCCCTTGGGTTTAACTTTGCTTAATGTAAGAATTCAGATTGTGTTTACCGTTCAAATTTATCTTTCTGATAATTTTTTTTTCATTTTGCAATCACGACAGGAAACTCTTAAAGTGATCAGTTACGTGTATAAACTTATACATTGTAACGAAAAAATCTATTCGATCTGAGAAGGGGGGATATATTTATGCAATAACTGTTTCGATTAAAAAAGTATTTGCATGAAAAATAAAATAAATCATTTCTCCTTTAATAATATTATAGGTGACTACTTCGAAAAACAGTAAGCTACTATACTTTTTACAGATATGATTAAACTCATGTTTTGTCGATAGAGAAATCAGTTGATTGTTGCTAATGATCACACCGTCATCGTATTCATTTGTTGTCTAACTGCTATAATCTCTGATCTTGTCACTTTTCCGATTATTTGATAAATTGAATCATTGTAAGCTTTGATGTCGTTTCTTTATACACAAGTGTTCCCATTGATAAATACTTAGAATTCATTAGTGGTTTACTTGAGAACGACAATACTCTTCCTGACAGATGTCCGTTGAGCATCAGTCTAATCATGAAATCCTTAAAACTTAGCTTAAATTCAACGCTATTTACTTTCAACGGTATGTTATTCAAACAAACTAACGGTGTAACAATCGGATCCCCTGTATCCCCGATTGTAGCCAACCTTTTTATGGCATACATAGAATCAAATATCTTCGCCCACAACATTATACCACGGATTTGGCTTAGACATGTAGACGATACATTTGTCGTTATAAAAAAGACTCATCTAAGATCTTTTTCAAAACGAATATATACACTTTCATCGCACATCAAATTCACGAATGAAAATGAAAATGTACATGGTGATCTACCATTCTTGGATTGCCTAGTAAAAAGAAATCCAAATGGAAGTCTAAACCTATCCATTTACCGAAAACCTACGCACTCAAATCGTTATATTGACTTCCATTTAGCACACCCTTTCAGTGCTAAGATCTCGCTAGCCTTAAATCTTTTTAGAAGAGCTAACAAGGTCATCACATCAGAGGAAGACAAACAAAAAGAACAAATGAATTTAATTAGCAGCTTACAATTTAATAATTTTCCTATGAAGATTATTAGATGCATATTAAAACAAAACAGTTTATTACGTTATAATAATAATTCGAATGAAATGCCATGGATTGGTATTGCAGTTCTACCATACCGTCATGGCACAACAGAAGAAATCCAAAGAATCTTAAAACATCACAGAATTAAAGTATACTACAAAACAACGAACACACTACGTAATACTTTAGTTCGCCTAAAAGAAAAAATCTTTTTCATGTCCACACAGAACTGTGTCTACAAATTAGGTTATATCGATTGCGATGCCTATTATATTGGAGAGTCATCCCGCGAAATCTTGACTAGAGCCAACGAACATATTAGGTACACAAAGAAACCTCCTAACAATCCCGTAGAATTGAACCAACTCCAAATTAAATCGGCAATAGCAGTTCATGCCATTTTCAACAACCACCAAATCGATTTTAAAAATATCAAAATATTGCAAAAAGGCTTTTCCAACTACAAAGAAAGGAGGGTAGCTGAGGCGTTCCATATAATGCTTAATCCTACTTCTCTCAACAGAAAGGAAGGCGTTACCATACATCCTACCTGGACCATCTATCCTAGCCATTCAGTCCGATCGTATTTACAGTTTCACACTATCATATTACGAATTTAAACTCTATCATTTCTTACCATAAAGGTCACACAATTTTTCATTCTTAAACAATGCACACATACACACACAAATTTACATACATATCACTTATGAATCACCTTGACAAAAATGACATGACATCAACTTGTTCATACCTGTTTTTGATTGATCAAATATTATTCTTGAATTGTTCCGTTGTAGTATTTAAACTTGGATTAATTTTAATTTGGCTATTTATTCTCTGAAGAACTGACTTACACTAAGTCACGAAACGTCAGAAAATCTAATTTTCTACTCATTGGGATATTACAAATATATTATTTATCTATTTCAGTATATTGAATGATTTATGAATGATATAAGGTGTCAATAGATCATTACTTGTTTCAGAAGCCTCATACACAGATCAATGGATTATTGATTTGGAAAAGTGATTTATTGTTAACTACTTAGAAGCTGAATGATTATTATGTGAAAAAATTTGTTAATGGTTTGTTACCGTTATATGATATTTCGACCAAGGAACAATAAATACATTTTTGATATTCTTAAGTTTATTCTACATCAACTTCATTAACTACGAGAAAAAATTTGACAGCATGGACAGGACAATACTATGGAAGCTTCTTCTATACTACGGCGTACCTGAGAAGATAGTCAATATCATACAGAATTCCTATAACGGATTAAACTACAAAATCGTGCATGGAGGATAATTAACAAATTCGTTCGAGGTAAATACCGTTGTTAGGCAAGGTTGCTTAATCCCACCATTTCTCTTTCTCCTGGTGATCGACTGGATCATGAAGACTTCAACATCAGAGGGGAAGCATGAGATACAGTGGACAGTGAACATACACAAAGGGAAAAGCGGAATTCTCAGATACAACACAACACAACACGCACCAATCAAATCACAATTGACGGAGAAGATTTGGAAGATGTAAAAACATTTACATATTTGAGCGGCATCATCGATGAACACGGTGGATATGATGCAAATGTGAAAGAGTGGATCGACAAAGTAAGAGCAGCATATTTACAACTCAACAACATCTCGAACTCAAAACAACTCTCAGCCAACACCAAACTCACAAGTTTCAATACAAATGTCAAAACAGTTCTACTGTATGTGATGGAAACTTGGAGAACTACGAAAGCCATCATCCACAAGATACAAGTATCTATTAACAGTTGTCTAAGCTAAATACTTCGGATCCGTTGACCAGTTATTATCATCAACAGCCTACTGTGGAAGAGAATAAACCAGATCCCAGTGGAGGAAGAAATCAGGAAGAAGCGCTGTAAGTGGATAGGAAACACATTGAGGAAATCACGCACCTGCGTTACAAGACAAGCCCTCATATGGAATCCTCAAAGCCAAAAGAGGAGTAGAGGAAGATCAAATAACACAATACGCCTAGAGATAGAGACAGACATGAAAAGAACGAACAAAAATTGAATTGAACTGTTAAGCAATGTAGAGTGGGACATAGTGAGTTGGAGAATGGTGGTCGGCGGCATATGGCCAACTGGGAGTAACAGGTCTAAGTAAGTAAGTTTCTTGAGTTTTCATTGTCATTATAGATAATATCATCACCACTTACTTCATGTAGCCTTTTGACAACATTAAAGTTACTCATTTAAACTGCAAATCTAAAACAAACATTTCTCAAATATTTTTAAATATTATTCATAAAAAATATTTATGTATTTATTGTTGCTTAGTTCAATTTCATTATTTCTTGTCTTATTTCTTCTTCATTACTCTAGGATTTTATGTTCTATCAAATATGTGTGATGAATTCTAATCATCAATTTACTTTGAACATTGAAAAAAAATGAATTGTCGACATTTCAAACTTGTTTACATTTTCCATGGTGATATAAAATTTCATCAATAATCACAATAAAAAAATTTTGTTGTCCTAAAAAAATAAAAACTGTTCTTTTTTTTTGTTCCACTAAAATTCTTTACAATAAGTTCTGCTTGTTATAATATTTTGAAATAGAAACATGACAATTGTAAAAGGTTTCTTTGTTCATGTAAATAGATAAAATTAATTCAATCAATAGGATTTATTTAATACCACTTAAATGAGAAGAAACGTGCTCAACAACAAATATATGTCTGGAAAGGAATAGAAAGTATATACTCAAAGGTATTCTAATGAGTATTGTATCATCCTATTTCTGAAAACACAATATTACAGAACAAATAATAATAAATGCAATCTTCAGTGTATAACTGACATTTGTTAAAAATTTATTATTTTTTCAAAGATATATTACCGGATAGGATTCATTTAATTATGCAAAGTAGAAGATCTGTATGCTAAGCTCTGAGTAACATTTCATTACGACTAAAATTTGAGTAATTTTATCATAGAAACACTACTCCATTTTATTAATATAGCTCAAAATCCTATAGTGAGCTTAGGGAGCAACGGGACATTAGTAAAACTGTTCAATTGAATAAGCTAATGTATTTAGAGCTGAAACTTAATTATCAAGATTAAAATGTCAAATAGTTCTTACGATTTTTTATAGTAATTTAAGTTTGTGAATCATGTTAATTTGCATACGACTTTTATTCTGCGAAAAACAATACAAGAACTTGTGTTTATGTTATAAAGCAACGATTCCATATTGTACAACATGTTGATTAAGCTATTTGAATCTTGAATAAAGAAAAAGCGAATATCTTAACAAAGTCACATGAAATCATTCTCCTCAGCTGATTAACCCCAAGAACAATTATTCTCAGTAAAAGTGTTTTGTGGAGATTACAGTAATTTAATAGCTGAATTCATGAGTCCATTAAAGTTATAATAATACGGAAGAATTAACATTGCTAAAATGCTCGCTTATTTAGTGATTAAATATATGAATATTCTGCGAAAGTATGGATACAAGACTTTTAAAACAGAAGACAGTTTATGTAATATAGACCAGAGGTTGTGCGTTAAGCAGTTAAGCGTTTTCGCATGAAACCGAAGGTCCTGAGTTCGAGTCCCGCATGCGGAATCGTGGATGCACACTGATGAGAGAACTTGTACTAGGGCGGAACAGCCGTCTAATACTTCCAAATTTACAATAGTGATCTAACATTGATCGATTCATGAGCTTAATCACAACCGAACAATTCCCGCAACCATATAGTGATAATATGGACCAGTTGAATAATGGAAATTTTAATCAAAGTTTATAGAAAAATGTCTTGCCTAATGATTTCACAAAAATGAGGTCACTAGGGCAAAACAAGATTTAGAACTGTTTCTTTTTGGATGCATGAATCAGATTAAAAATTTTATTAGAAGCGCTTATTCAAAGCGTAATTATTTTGAATTCCTCTGATTACTGATTATTTGAAACACTTCGAAACTTCAGCATCATGCCCACTGTCAAGAAAATGAAAAACAACTGCACTGTTAAAAATCTTCTGTTCGTCAAGTTCCAACATTCGTGAAATTGTTTCGGAGATGTAGACACAAACTTAACTTTCTGTTGTTTCGACGTAGTACTATGACACTTAGATGTAAACTTGTAAACAAATTAAGAATTCATGTTACTTTGTTAAGATATTCGTTTTTTCTTTGTTCATTATTCAAATCGCTTAATCAATATGCTTTACATTATGGAATCGTTGTTTTATAATATAAATACCAATTCCTGCACTGTTTTTCAGAAACTGTATTTGAATTCGTAGGTCTCAACATATACAAAGGGGAAAGCACGATTCTCCGATACAGCAAAACATGCAACAATCGAATCACAATTGACAGAGAAGATTTGGAAGATGTAAAAACATTTACGTATCTGGGCAGCATCATTGATAAATACAGTGGATATGATGCAAATGTGAAGGAGCGGATCGGCAAAGTAAGAGCACCATATCTAAAACCAAAGAACATATGGAGCTCTAAACAACTCTCAACCAACACCAAGGTCAAAATTTTCAATACAAATATCAAGACAGTTTTACTGTATGTGGTGGAAACTTGGAGAACTACGAAAGCCATCACCAGAAAATACCAGTGTTTATTAATAGTTATCTACGTAAAATACTTCGGATCTATTGGCCAAACACTATCAGTAACAATCTACTTTGAAATAGAACATACCACATTCCAGAGAACGAAGAAATCAGAAAGAAGCGCTGAAAGTGGATAGGACACACATTGAGGAAAGCACGCAACTGCGTCTAAAGACAAACCCTCATATGGAATTTTCAAAGCCAAAGGAGGAGAAGAGGAAGACCAAAGAACACATTACACCGAGAAACGGAGACAGTTATGAGAAGAATGAACGAAAATTGAATTGAACTGTAAAGGAATGTAGATTGAGACATAGTGAGTTAGAGAATGGTGGTCGGCGGCATATGGCCAACTGGGAGTAACAGGTGTAAGTGAACTCGAATTCATAGTCAAATTAACCTAAAAATATTAATTATCTTCATAATCATTTATGAACAACTATATTATATTACAGTAATATAGTTCGATTCAAAATGATTGTACTTATAAATAAAAGTGTATAATTAAACAATCAAATATTTTAAGTCTAAATGAATTATTTCTAACAATAAATTATTATTCTCATAATTTAATAATTAAAAAAACTATATTCATTCATAAATCATTTACATGTACAATTCTTTCTCTCCAAATGATACGATATTATCCTGGAGATATAATTGACTGATCATATCTTGTAATGACCGCTTATCATTGTAAAACTAAACCTTTTATTTTACCCGAACCAATCGTTTTTTTTTATTAAAAAAAAAAAAAGTAATAATGCTAATTAATTGATTTAATTGCATATTATTTTTTTTTTCAAAAAAAATTTAATCTATCATCTATATTAATCTACATTAATAATTTTGAATAGAATTAAACTAGAAACCGTTTTATATCCACCTGAGCTACAAATCTTCTCCACCATCTCAATACCGCTTTATGATTTTAGGAAAATCCAAATTAATACTGATCCTCAGCAACAAAATAACTGAATACTCTGAAAAAATAACTCCTAGAAAATTAGTTTTAGGTAGTTAAAGTTGTACATTATGCATGTATTTAGCTAATTGGCAAATTGAACATTCAATGAATTTTGTATATTCTGTGACTCTGTAGTTTGCCTTGCATAGAATATTTTCATTTGATTTAGTTATGTTTTGAACAATCAATGAATTGATGAATATGTATTGGGGAAAAATTTTCTTTTTCCGTCGAGTAACCGTGATTACCTAACTGAAACAAAGATGAAGCCACAGATTAAGTAAAAAAATACTTCTATGGTCTAAACTCTTTTTGTGTGAACCATCACTAGATTTATCACCAGTGAACCGTATCTATAGTTTATTTGAAGTCACAAATGCAACCAATAAAATAGATAGACTGAAAGCTTGTGAAATAATGAAAAATCTTCATCTCAAATCAAGATAGTTCCAAATAATGTTATCTATGATAACAATCATGACTTTCGAATAAAATCATCCCACTAGAAGAATGGAACATGACCAGAATCAATCAATTGAGCTACAAATTTTTCCTACCATAATCGGAGTATTTTATTCAGTTAATAAACAACTATATTTGTAATGATCTAAATAATTGAAATATGCTTATTTCAATATTTTTCAATTTCAATTTCCTCGAAATTTTCTTATTTCAATCTTGATACATTTTTTCAAATAACTAATTTATGTCCCAATCTAAACAGAATAGATATTTTATATTCGCTTATATGTATAATTGTCTTGTCAACACTGACCTAATATCTCACTGCATTACTATTTCTAGCATTTATCTAAATTAATGGTTGCTCTGAGCATCAGCCTCATGACTTCCGAAGGAACTCGGCTTTCATCATGAGAGGTCATTAAGTTTCTAAATGAAGACCTTCTAACTCATAAGAAACAGTTTAAACGGTCTGAATTATTTCTTCTGACTAGCTTTTTTTAGCGAGTTAGTTGTCTACGGAATAGGGTCGCTAACCCGATGTCCAACCCTCCTCCTTTATTCAAGCTTGCGACCAGCAGCAACCATAGAAGGGCTCCTGGCCCACTTACCATGTTGTGGTTAAATAAATGTCACTTGTATAAGAGCGAACTTAAAGGCAGGTATATATGCAAGCAATAATGTTTATGTAGGTATGTATTTGAGTTTATAAGCATGAGTTCTATCATAATCCTTGCTAAATGAATAACTACACTTTTATGTAATTCATCTTTATATTGATTGTTTGAATCCTTTTATTGATGTTTAAGACTGAGATTGATCAGTCCTTTTCGGCATCGTGCATCTTGTGAGGATTGCCTCTGTATTCCCATGAGTCACATTCAACTGAAACGCGCGTTCTAAATCCCACTATTGCCACCATCTATCCAAATTTATGATTCTAGTTGCCTAATCTGAAAGATTAACATAAATACAAAATAGTTGTAATCATGAAAAATCTCACACATGTGCTGCATAGACAAATAAATGAAAACTTAAAACTCACTGATGTTTATTAAAACAGTCAAGTCAATTTAAGTGAGAAACAGCTAAGTGGAAAGATTTATTCCTAATAATAAAACCAGATATCAAATTATTGTCTTATCCACTTCAACGTACTTAAGACGCATTTAAAGAGAATTTGTATTTACGCTGTTACTATTAATACGACTACTACCACTGCTATCTGTAATGGTATTAGTCAAGTGTTATATCAGTTTTTTTACAAATCCATTCATTCATTTTTCGTCTAAACATAATAAATCCGTGACTCCGTTACGCTATCAGTTATGTAATGGAGACAAATAGATTAGATGGTGGTTGGAGGTAGTCGACAGGAAA